TTCTTAAGATTTTGTGACATTAAACTTAGTTTAAAAGCTATAAAAGCACTAGCAAATGTTCTTTGTAAAAACGTCTGTCTGATCTCACTATTAATTCAGGATTGTAATATTGGTGATAAAGAAACGAAAATATTGTCGGAGGCACTTTATGAGAATACAACTTTATCTACCCTATGTCTTCACGAAAATAGAATAGGCAAGTACGGAGTAGAAGAACTTGTAAAGGTTCTTTATAAAAACACAACCTTAACGTCCTTAAGTCTTGGGTCAACAAAACTTAATTTTGAAAGTGGAAACATACTTGCAAAGGCTCTCTGCAACAATATCTCTTTGACATCCTTAAGCCTTTTTTATATGAAGCTTGGCGTTGAAGGAGGAAAGGCATTAGCAGAAGTTCTTTACAGAAACACTGCTTTATCCTCTCTGACTCTTAATAATAATAAACTTGGTTTTGCAGGAGTAAAAGCTATAACAAAAGCTCTTTGCAGTAATACCATATTAACTTCTTTAAGTATTGAATATAATGAGATTGGTCATGAAGGCGTGAAGGCAATAGTAGAAGCTCTTTGTAAAAATAGCTCCTTAACTTCATTGAGTCTTACGAGCAATGACCTTAGTTTTAATGAAGCCAAATTATTGGCTGAAGCTCTTCACAAAAATACTACTTTAACTTCGTTAAACCTTTCTTTTAATAATCTTGGTTCCGAAGGAGTAAAACCGTTAGCAGAAGTTCTCTATGTGAATAATATCTTAACTTCCTTAGACCTCAGTTATAATGATATTTATTCTGACGGAATAAAAGCATTATCAGAAGCTCTTTATAAAAATACAGGTTTATCTTCCCTAAATATTAGTAGCAATTATTTTAGCCTTAATGTTCATGAAGCAATAAAAGTATTAGCAGATACTCTTTGTAAAAATACAACTTTATCCAATTTAGATCTTTCTTATACTAATTTAATGTTTAATGCGCAAGTATTAGCAGAGGCCCTTGCAAAAAACATAGCATTAACTTCTTTGGATCTTAGTGGTATTCGAATTGGTTATGAAGAAATAAAACTATTAGTAGAAGCTCTTTATAAAAACACTACTATAACTAATTTATATATTTATTCTAGTTATATTAGTTCTAAAGAACTTAAAACATTGTCGAAAATGCTATACAAAAAAAACACCTTGATTTTATTGAATTATTGATTTTGAAATTTAAATCTTATTAAAATATATTTGACTTTTTAATTTAATTGATTAATTACTGCAAGTTGTTAAAAACAAAAAAAAAAATCATGCAATTTTAAATTATAATTTGTCTTATAATTTAGTGACTTTTCTATATCTCATTTAAAAAATTAATGTTGATAATGTGTAAATTAATTTTATCACTATTGGTAAAATTGGTTTGAATTAATGAAAATTTAGTATGTTTTCAAGTTAATGATTGTGATGTATAATATTAAATTAGACTATGTTTAAAGACCAATAGTAAAGTAATAATAAAATTAAAATATTTTTACAATCTATTTCTATTTGCTAATTTATAATTGTATCAATTCTCTAATATTATAATAAATTACAGTACTCTTTTTGAATTACCGTGATCATAAGTTTTATACATTACATATTATTAGAAATCTGAAAATCTGAAAATCACAAATTTAAATAAATAATGTGGCAGCTGAAGCTAATATTTTGAAAAATTTTTGAAGTCTTTTTTGTTAGCCTTTTATTTAGAATTTGGTTAAAGTTTAGAAGTAGTATTATTAATAAAAGAGTACAAATAAATTTTAGTAGGTATTATAAATTTAAATAGAGACCTTCTGATCTTAGCTTCACCTGCTACAATTATTAACTAAATATTTTGTTTATAAAACTCACTTTTGCATTCTAATAAAAAAATTTTTTTATAAAATTTTAATACAAGTTATACCTTTTCTTATTCTTAATTTTAAATTTAAAGATAATAATTATTACTTTAAAATTTTATTGCTTAATTTAGTTATTTTGATTTTACATACATCTTATTTTTTAATCTAATTAGCTAAAAAATTATATTTGTAAATTTTTTGTAGATAGTTACTAATATTTATTAATGATAACTATACAAAAGGTATTATTATAATAATCTGTAATCTGATATATAATTAGTTTTAATATTTTATAATAAATTAGCAAAAAAATAATCTTTTGTACTCTTTTTTTAATACTTTATTATTATTTATCTTTATAATATATATTTATCTCTTTTTTTTTAAAAAAAATACAATAAAATTATTTAAATTCTAAACAGAAATTGTTTAAAAGAAAGGTTGGATTTCATAGTTTAGTTGTAAAACTTTTATCCTCTTACAAACAAGGTCAATAGTTCAAGTCTGATTAAAGATAAAATACTCTATAATCAAAAATAAAATCTATAATTAGATGCAAAGTTTTGTGAAAGTCCAAGGTACATATTTGATCTAAGGAATTTTTAGAAGAAAACAAGTATGGCAAAGCATAATTACTACTATAGTGAAAAATGTGAAGAATGTTATTAATGTTTGTAAAAAAAATTAGTTTTAACTAATATAATATTACTTTTGTTATTATAAATTTATATAGATATAGTTGTAGAATCTATTTTTATTTAGTAGAGTTTGGTGTTAAAAATAAAGTAGTCTAAAGTTTTTTATTAAAAAATTTAGTTGGTATTACAAAAAAAATATTAAAAATTAGAAACTTTAAATAAGAAACCTACAGGCAGGTTTCAAATATAACAATTAGTAGATAATCTATAGATAGAACCTTTGAATAGATAATAACTAAAGTTGTATAAGTAACTAATTATAGTCTCATTGAAATGCAAAATGTAATACTTTTTTACAATAATTTTAGATTGTAAGTCTTAATAAAAATTACTCTTTAAACCTAAAAGAAAAGAAATTGTTTAAAAGATATTAGAATTGCTGCATTTTAGTATAATTATTTTTCTTAAAGATTATTATTATACTTTATGCAAACATTTACTTTTGTAATTGCTACACTTTTACATAAATATTATTTAAAATAAAGTATTAAAGAGATTAAGAATTATTATATTTATATATAGTATTTTTTTTTATTATTTATTTTTTATTTTTTTTTGCTAAGACTATACTTGTGAAGATACTTTATTGACTTTATATCAGGTTAGCTATTACAACTATTTTTACAGAGATGAGAGTACAGCTA